GACGGGGCCCTGGAGTTTTATCAGGCGACCGCAGCGTCCGTTTCTTAAAGACCATTTTCCTGGCACCCCCCTGTCCTTTCCCCCTCTCCCAGCCGCCCCGCTCTCCTCTGGGTTAACCAGTGCTCGTAAGGACCTTGGCCAGTTAGCGGAGCCCCGCGGAGACCTCCGGCAGCCAGGGGGCAGCCAGGGGGCAGCGACTTGTGCGCCGGGTGCCGGCAGGCGAGGTGCAGGGGTCGCCGGGGTGCTTGGCCCGTCCGAGCGGCAGAGAGAAGCTGCAACCCCAGCCCGGCTGGTCCAGGCGGGGCTTGGCGAGCGCTCATGCGAGGTCCTGGCTGGGCAGCAGCCCCGCGGTGAGCCCCGTGCCCGAGGGCCCGCCCCTGTCCACAGGAGGTTCAGCTGGCCCGGGCCCCGAGCCTGGACTCACGCTCCCTCGGGGCTCACCGCGCAGCCCCGCTGCCTCCCGCTCCCGCAGTGAAGGAGTGAGGCGGGTCCCGGGGGTGTGGAGAGGGGAGCGGGCAGGTCCGGGGTCTCCTTTGTGGTTTCTCGGGTGCTGAGGGGCTGGAGGAGGTGGGTGTGTGTCAGAGCAGCTAACCTGGCACCTCTCCTTCGGTTCTGCTTTGTCCCTGCAGCAGAGCTAATGTGGCTTTTCCCTTAAATTTCAGGAGACATGCTGTTTGTATCTTGAAGACTTTTTCCTCTGAATAGCACAGAGGGTGCCCCAGCCCTCTGCTGCTTGCCCCAGTTTTAACAATGCTAGTATTTTTGTAATGACAGCCCTTTTTCTGTTTAGTTCCCAAACTGTCAAAAAGCACTCGATGAGCCCCTACTGGGAGTAAAACTGTAGAGGCCCCTGCCTTCCCTGCTAGGACTTTGGGGGAGGTGTGCAGGCCACGCTGCTTTAATCCACAGTGGTGCCCGTCAGCTTGAGGGGACGGCTGTCGAGGCTCAGTCGAAGGCAGCTTCAGCTCCTGGCAAGGCTCCCATCCAGTCCAGGCTGAGGGGGGCCCAGGGTCAACTGTATCGTTAGGTATACACACACATTTTAAACATATACTTTTATTTGTCCTATTTTTTGGTTTTTTTTCTCTCGTTGTATTTTGAATTGAGTAAGTATAATTTGGAAAATACATTATTGTATTTCTGTTGTCTTCGTGGTTACCCTAGAAATTTAACATGCAGATGTATCAGGATCTAGGGTAACTGTTGTGTTTCCCTCCTGATCTGTACACTGCCTCAGGTGGTCTCATCCCAAGGGCATTGCTGGTCTGTCGTGTGTGATTAGCCCTCCTACATGGGTGCTTGTCCAGTGGATGCTTGTCTTTCTGCCTCCCTTTCCGACTCCCCTGCCTCACGTGGTCCTCATGTGGGACCATGTGCTCTTGCTTCCAGCTCACCCTTTAGAATTTCCTTGGGAGGCAGACTCTGTTTTGTTTGAAGTTGTCAGCACAGGCTCCTGAAAGGCATTTTTCTGTTTGGCATTCTGGGTCTACAGTTGTCTTCTCCCAGTACCTGAAGATCTTAACTCTGCTCTTCTGGGCCACCTCCCATCTCCACCACATCTGAACACCCTCTTCCCGTCGCCACTGCTCCACTGTGCTAGTGTCTGTGACACCATATGTGCGTTCAGTGTGAACTAGCTGCTGGCAGTCAGCTCTGGCTGGGGACCCGTTGCTTAGCGTCTCTATGCCTGTGTCCTCTTGTGTCCCCCTTTCCCTCGGCGACAGACACCAGCCCTTGCCCGGGGCCCGGCCTGTGGGGAGAACCTGAGCCTCTCAGCTGCTGGGTCCCTATGAACTATTTTTTATTTCTCAGAAAACTTGACTCTTCTTCATGGCCATCCTGCCTCACCGTCCACCATCCTCCATGCCTCCTACCATTTCCTTTTGTTTCCACACCAGCCGGACAATGGGAGCTGGGGTAGTAGGCTGTGCAGGACTGTGGGCTGCATCCACTGGGGGCCACCAGGCCTCTGGAGGCCTGGAAGCCACCTGTGCTTTGAGGGACTGAGGAGGTGACTGGAGGTGGCGGGTCAGTGCTCTAGGCAGGGGGCACAGCAGCAGCTTGTCTTAGGTGTTTAGGAACTCCCTGGGTTGAGTTCTTGGCACTGCCAAGACAGGCACTGCCTGTGGGCACGGGGACAGCAGCTTCCTTGCTCTGAGTCACTGTCTGCACTTGGCTTCCTTCCACAGTTCCTGCTGTTTGTCTCTGTCCTCACTCTCAGGATCTCTTGGCTTCAGCACCCCCTCCCCCCCATTCCCCATCCCAGCTCCTTCCTGAACTCCACTTCCATGTGTTCTGCTGCGCCTGCCATCATCTGGAATGTTCCAGGTACCTCAGGCAGAACAGCCCCTCCTTCTCTCAGACCCCCCACTG